GGTCAGATAGACTAACAGGAGGCCAAGTGCAAGGAGGCTGAGTGGGACTTTGGGAGAAGGGATGGTGCTCTGCTGGCAGATTGCAGAAAGGTAAGCAGTGACTGCAGATTTCAGGGAAAAATTTCCCTCTTCAAGGGGGGGGGGGCATTTTAGCACAAAACTAAAGTGCTTTTTTAAAAGCTGTAGGAAGATGGTGTACCAGTTGGCACTAAATCTGGATTGGTTCCAAGAAGTAGTAACGACAGGACCCAAGAAGGAAACATAATAAGACAAGACATATTTGTAAGAAGAAAGCAATTTGTCCTTGAGACAGAAAAGGAAAAAAGATCTGTGTTGTCAACAGCCTGAAAACTAGCCAAGTCCGTTGCCTGGGAGAACTAGAGCTCCCTGGCTGGGGATCGAACTCATGCCACAGTGATTGGCGATAGCTTAATAGCACTGACACATTAACCCCTGCGCCACCAGGGAGGCCCAAGGTAAATATATATTTTTTTATATTTCTTGCATTTATTTTCAGCTAAGGAAAGGGTAGCCCACTCAGGTGAATGGATCCAGTACTTACGCAGTTCTCTCTCTCTCCCTTGCACACAGTCTGGGATGCAGGTTGACTATCATTCCACCTTTTGTTTCTATGTTAAACTTTAAAATTTCAGGCAGGTGAGAGGAGGCAGCTTTAAATTGGGGTTCCAAGGGTGCAGCTGAAAAAGAGATTGGTTAATAAAAAGTCAGTTATGACTGCAAAAACGAGGTGGAGGTGCATAAATATTTTGCCCTTCCCATCAGGAAAAAGAAAAAAAAAATCTTTTGTAATGAATAGCAGGGGAAAGAGCAAATGAACCTTGGAAAAGAGCCAGCACCATGGACAGCTCCCCCTTCCACCTTTCTGCTCAGAGATCTTTTTGAAGAACAAATATGATCCCAAGAATTTAACCACTACACAAATCCCCGGGGATCTTGTCAGAGGGCAGATTTGGTTTCTGTAAGTCTCAGCTGGGGCCTGAAACTCACATTTCTAGCCATATTTCCAGAAAACACTGACTCTGCCAGTCCTAGACCAGACTTTGACAGCAAGAGACCCTTTGGGGTGCTCATGGCCCTCAGGCCCACAGAGAGGCTTTTCCTGCAGCCCCTGTGTCTGGGGCCAGCCTCTTCCCCCACCCCTGTGAGAGGACACAGAAGACCACAAGACTAATTCCCAGTCCACATTTCCTTTCCTCCCCGCCCCAGGATTTCGTTGCCCCTGTCCTGATTGTGTGGACTGGATACCCGCAGGAGCATGGGCTTGGAAGTAGACTGCCTGAGGTCGAGTTCCAGCTTTACCATATACCTGCCTGATGGCCTTGGGTAAGTCAATCGACCTCTTTGTACTTCTTTGTACTCAGTCTCAGTGACTGACTGATCGAGGGGAAGTGAGAGGTCACATGTAACGTGGGGCCAGTGATGCCTATTGCAGCATCTTCTTGGTTATGGTGGCCTTGCTGTGGCCAATTCCACCCCCCTGCTCCCCCCCCAGCCTGCCTTCTGCCCTGGGCATGCACAGAAGGACATGTTGCCCGGAGTGTGTGCTGCCTGGGGCTCTCCAGCACATGTTCACAGTCCGTGTAACTCACCTCATCAGCCTGCTCTTCTCCATCAGTCTTTCTCACTACTCCTGGGCTTTTGTCACCCTCAAGCAGATGGCCTGTCTGCACCTGGCATGTGGCAAAAGAAGTAGCAGGCTTTACTCCTTCTGCTGCTAAGATCTTCAGCCCTGGACTCATCTCTAAGGTCTTGTTCAGTGAATGGATCAGGATGGCCTCTGACCATGACCCTGAAATTGTTTATTTCTTTACCTACCACAGCCTAAGGCCTGTTAACTCAAAAGTCCACCAGTGCCAAACTAGAATATTACACATCCAGTGAAATTTTTTTAAAGATTTATTTATTTATGCATACAAGAGCTGGGGTGCAGGCCAGAGATGTGGGGGGTGGTGAGAGGATTCACCAGAGACAGAGTGGGGAACCGAACAGGCAGATCTTCTGAGATACACTGCTGAGGGGAGCAGCGGGCGAGACAGGAGAGCTACCATGTGGGTAGCTCCTTGGCTGGGGGCTGAGCTCATTCATGCTGCAGGATAGTTTCATAGAGCTGCGACTTAACCCTTGTGCCAACAGGCTTTCAGCCATGTAGGGCCCGCTGAAGATTAAACATTAGCTTCGTTGTTCTGGGGATGCTGTAAATCTTCTTTCACCATCAATGTTTAACTGCCATCGTGAGAGTCGCTCCTAATGTTAAAATGGCTCCATCATGTCTAACTGGGCTGGAGAGGACATAGACGTGTTAGTCTTTGTTTTCTCAAGCTAATCCAGAGACCGTTCTGCTTATAGACGATCCGCATTTAGAAATTTTAGGTTGTGCCAAATTCACACTGTGCCAGCAGCGTGTGGAAGGGCCACGGCTCTGCCGCTGCCCACACGGAGGCATTCTGTGGATCCATTTTTGCCTGTCTGAGAAATGAAACACTGGATGTTATTTAAATCTATACTTGGTAACAGCGAGGTGGGCACACAGTCTACCAAGCTCCCTTGGCTTCTCACAACATCGCCTGAAATGTGGTCTCGGGGATCCCTATGAATCCATTACTTTGGGGGGGTCCCCTACTTAGAGTCTCAGCTGGGAATTTTCCACTGAGCACACTGGGAGTTTGCACTTTCTCTGGTCACGAGTCTCCCTGTGGCCTGTGTAAGGGAGAGGCTGTGGGTCCTCAGGGACTCGCTCTCCCTGGAGGTCTCCCGGGAACTTGCTGTTGCTCGATCACGTCAGTAAATCTCAGCTTCAAAGTCAACGGCTGTGGGGAGAGTTCCCACTTAATCTTCAGCGAGGAACTCAAGAACCCACCACTGCCGGCCACGAACATGCGGAAAACTGCTTACTTTATGTTCATGGAAAAGTTCCAGCAAGGAAATGAGAGCCATAGGAGGAGGAAGCACGGTGGTCAGGGTTTGGGGGTCACAGATACTGAAAGCCTGGAGCTCACACAGTCATAAATCAGAGGGCTCCAGGCCCCAGTCCCAGGTGCTGACAGGGGCACTCTCTCTGCACTCCTGTTTTGAAATCTTACCCAAATTTCCTGGGATATAGGTTACTGTTATAGTGAGTGTGTGTGAGTGTGTGTGTGAGTGTGTGTGTGTGTGTGTGTGTGTGTGACTCCATCTCTCCCTTCACAAGCTCCATCTCCACCATCTTAGGAATCCCAGCTCAGGAACTCTCTTTTAAGAAAAGAATGTTAACAATAAAGCAACAAAAGTTCGGCTCACAGACGTGTATTTATCCCTTTCTCTAAAAACTTGCAATCGTTTAGGGACAGGGCGGGGCACCTGGTGTGGCCCTCATCTCTTCTTTCAAGCAGGTGTAGTCCCCATAACCCAGGCCCCACCCCTGCAGGCCAAGCCACATGACCCAGTCCTGGCCAATCAGGATGGGGCTCTGGACTTTTGCCCTGCTCCTGCCTATTTGGGGGCACCCAGCCATGAGGGGTGCACCTGGGGGTGCTGGCACCACCTTGCCTGTGCCTGGGAGAAGCCTGTCTGAGAAACAGACAGGTACACGATTAAAGCATTTTTATCCCGAGTCCAGGCACCTCTGAAGCCCACTGAAGCTTATCGAACCACAGGAGCCAATAAATGCATTTTTTGAGTAAAGCCCATTTGAGCTGGTTTGGGCCACTTAAAGCAGAAAGAAGAATGACTAGTAGATGGTTTGTTACCAGACTGCACACACAGCCCAGATAACGCTTGGCAACATAGAAAAAACAATGTCTAGAAAAACGAAATGAAACATGGAATGGTAGGAAATGCGGCTATTGAAGGACAGCAAAATGGAAACCACAGAGGCCGGCAAGTGAGGGAATGGAGAACGGGAAAGAAACGCAGCGGGTTTCAGGAAAAATATATTTTACGGTGCAGCCTGGACCGAGGGTCCCGGGAGGCCTCTCATGCTGTTCATGCCCAAAGCAAGAAGAGCCGATGAAAGGTTCTAAAACAAAAAAGCAACAGGAGTCACCTGGACCGGTGCATTATCTCCCTCCCGCCCCCTATTTTTTCACTTTCCTGCATTTTAGAAGGCTGTGTTAAATGTGCATGCTCCACTTTCTAAACAGCAGCTCAAACTGGGAAGCCAGGAAAGTTCCTACAGGTTCCACCATCCGGAAGGCCCTCCAAGAACTCGGTCCAGGCAGCTGGAGGGGCTCAGGGGCCTCTCTCTCCCCATGATGGAATCTGGCTGGGCAGGTTCAGTGACATCCTTTCGTGTGCAGAGCGAGGATCTCATCTGCTCCGGTGGGGAGGAGAGAGAGGCAAGTGCAAGGTGAGTTGTTAGAGAAAACACAAACACCCCTCACCCCAGGGACGCCCCACCCTCCCCGCCGCCGTCACATGGCCTGAGTGGCTGGGCTGACCATGTGTGACCGTCACTGTGACGGTGAGTGAGTGATGGGGGACCGAGGACGAAGACAGAATGACTCAGGACCCAGTGAAGGAGTGGAGAGACGAGGGTGCCGGTGGACAAGAGGGGACAGGTTGGGGCCTCCCTGGTGGCGCCAGGGGTTGAGCACCGCACTATGAAGCCATCTGCAGCCTCTGCAGCATGAGTTCGATCCCCAGCCAGGGAGCAACCCACATGGCGCAGCAGACCTCTCCTGCCTCGCCTGCTGCTCCCCTCAGCAGTGTCTTCGGTCTGTCTGCCTGTTCTGCTCCCTGCTCTGTCTCTGGTGAATGGTCTCACGCCCTGCACCTGTGGCCTGGCCCCCAGCTCTTGTGTGCATAAAGAAAAAACACCTTAAAAAATAGGTTGACTTTACAAGACTCGCTGGCTGACAGTCCCCTCAGCACCCACGTGGGACGTCTCTAGTCTCAGCCAACCCCGCCAGCCTGCAACCCACGGCCCTTCCCCTCCTAGTGCCTCCATTTGCACGTGGTAGTTCCCACGCGCAGTACGAGCCACGGGACTTGATCCAGGCCAGTCAGTGCGGGTCTCGACCGTCCTTCCTTTCTTTCAGCTTGGGGCCCCGCCGCCAGGGGGCGCGCTCCCCCCTCTCCCCAGAGCCCCGGGCTGAGCCCACCTTGGTGCTCTCCAGCCGCCTGCACGCCTGCTTCCCGCTGCTTGGCCGGGGCCGAGGCAGAGCCCCCATGGCTTCCTCCGCAGAGCTCATCGGACTTTTGGGGGGCAAGAGTTTCTGTAAAGAAACAAAAGCACCCAAGGCAGGGAAGTGGCAGAGGGGCCTCGGGGCAGCATGCCGGGAGATCCAGGCCCAGACTGCAGCCGGCTCCCTGCCCCTGCCATCCCGCAGCCACCCGCCTGCAGCCCGGGCAGTGACAGAGCCCCGTGTCCTAGTGCAGGCCTCACAACAGACACCACGGGCTGCTGTCTCAACCCCCAGGGCGCGTTTTCTCAAAGTTCCGGAGGCTGACCCGAGGGAAGTGCGGCAGACCCGCTTTCTGGGGAGGACTCTGGCTGGCAGAAGGCGTCCTCACGGCGCCCCGGTGCAGAGAGAAGCCGTTTGGGGACTAGGGCCCCACCCCTGGGACCACTTCCAACTCCAAATACCTCCCAAAGGCCCCATCTCCAAATGGTCACACGGGGCTCGCAGCTTCGGCCTGTGAAGGTTGGGGGTGTGTTTCCCTCCTCCTCCTCCCTGTGGCTCAGGGTCCTCCTCCGCATGACGGGAAGAGCCTCTGCCCAGCCCACAGGCCCCAGAGCACTCAGGGAGAAACAGGCACGAGCGGGCCTGCCCGCGGCCACCGGCCACCCCAGATCCTCAGAGACACGCATGCAAACTTCACACACGGAGGGGCCCCCTGAACCCCTTTTCTCCCATAAACCTTGGTTTCCCTGGGCCCAGGGACAGCTCACCCTCCCTCCAGCCCCGCCGCGGGAGCCGGCGCACCTGCCGCAGGCTGTCACGGAGCCGGGCGAGCTCCCTGAGCTGCCCCTCCAGCTCCCCGGCCTGCGCCCTCAGCTCCTCCGCCAGCTCCGTCCTTGCTCCCGCCTTCAGATGCTGCCAGTCCTTCAGGAGGGCGGTCAGGTCCAGGCTGAGGGAGAAGCCGGTCATCACGCTGCCCAGCAAGCGGGCGTTTCTCGTCATCACCAGCGGCGTGCCCTGGAAGGCCCTGTGCACCTGCCTGCTCTTGCGGGCCGAGAGGCGCCCGGCGGCCTGGAGACTCTGCGCGGCTGCGACCAGGTGCGGCTGGGCTCTGGCTGCCTGCAAGGCGCGGACGTCCTTCTTGATGTCCCGGAAGGCGCCGCCGTAATTACACACAAGCTTGTTGGCAGCCATGAGGTAGGAGACCTCCCTCTCCCCGGCCTCCCTGGCCCCCGGGCCACGGCTGGGCAGCAGGCTGCTGGCCTGGGCGCGGGCTCCTTGACGCTGGACGTGCTCCCAAACGCCGGTCAGGATGCTGGTGACCCCGGCTGCTGTTTCCAACCCCTTGCTGGCAGCGGAGAGCATCAGGCTGGCCCCCGCGGTGGCAGGGGCGAGGACCAGCCCCAGGATGCTCATGGCGCCCGAGACCACGGCGATGGAGCCGGCCACCACGCTGGTCCTGGTGAGGGTCCGGTGCGTGGTGTCCAGCTGGTCCGCAAGGGCGAGGAGCTTCCTGATGCCATCTTCCAGCTGCTCCCTCAAGAAGGGGTACTCTTCCAGAAAGGCTCTCTCTTCAGCCGACAGATCTCCTTCTTCTTCCTCCACCTCTTCACCCAGAGCGCCCTCCCTGCCCCTGCGGAGGAGGGAGATAGAGATTTCTCTTCCATCTCTAGATGGGAGGCCACCTTCTTAGGCCTGTGTGATTCCCGGGGTTCCTGCCCCTCCCGACTCTGAATCCTGCCCCCCCACCCCGTGTGGAGAGGGTGGGGGCCCTGGGGCACCTGGCTCCAGGAAGGGAGGAAGCAGCACAGTGCTGGCAGGCCGGAGAAACGCAGCCCAGGAGACCAGAGGTCGTCGGCCACCCCGAGGGCGGAGGAGACGCCAGGGCCCTTGCAGAGGCCAGGAAGGCCCCGGGCGATGGAGGGCGGGTCTGGGAGAGTCTCAGGAAGAGGGGCCAGGCTTGGCGGGAGGCTGGGCGCCCTGTAAATGTGGTGGCCAGGCTTCAGCTCCGCCCTGCCCTTCGGCTTCTGTCTGGATTGACGGGGCCCAGATAAACGGTCACTAACACCAACATTCTCCTAGGCTCGCGGCCAGCTGGACTTGACCCCTCACGCATATGGCCCGGTCCTGCGTGGGAGAAGTCAGGGGCTTACCCCGACACCTCGCAGGAGGGCAGTAACAGGGGCAGCAGTATGCCCAAGGGAGGGCCACCTTCCTCTGCCACCAGCACGATTCCTCCAGGGTGAGCTGAAGAGGCCAGTGGGGGTTCCCTGGCCCAGGGGAGACCAGGGCCAGGAGGCGCCCTGAGAGGGCCCGAGCTACTTCCCATGGGTGTCCGTGGAGAGAGGGGAGCCCAGAGGAGGAGGCAGTGGCCCAGGGGATTGTGGAAACCCAGGGGGGCCTCGAATGGGGACCAGAGCCCCAAGACCTTCCAGTACCTTCTACCACAGCACCCTCATCGGCCAGCTGACACCGGAAATCCCTCCCCGGATAAGTGTACATTTAACTTTAGATCCTTCTCTCTCTCTACACGCACACGCACACCCACGCACACACACATGCACGCACGATGGTAAAGGTTAAAACCCGATACCCGACCATGGACCTTCTGGTGTTAATGAACTAATAAATTTAGGTTCCATTATCAGCTGATCTGCAGCTGTAGGTCAGTTTCCAGAGCAGAAGTTTGGCAGGGGCTCTGGGGAGCTCAGAGGTGACGACTAGGAGGGTGACCCCAGGGAACCCCACAATCTAGCCCACCCCAATCTCTATGTTTTCTCAGGTTTTATGAGGACAAAGAACCAGCAGGGTTCTTTGAAAGAGCTGCAGGGACTGAGGGGGCTAATGTCTGTCTTTAACACGGTGGCGGCCAGGGGAAGCCTGACGTCCTGCGCGTCTGAGGTGGGCCGGGCACCTGACTGCAGCGCGCCCTGTGCCAGGCAGCGGTGGAGGGACACGGCCCAGACTCAACCGGCTCCAGGGGGCGCTGCTCAGGTCACTCAGCTGCCAAATACTCGCCCGCTGCCCGCATGGTGCTGGAGGCTGGTGATGCCCCAGCAGCGCTGAACGACAGCTGGGCTGAAGCCCCCTCATGCGCCAGCACCAGCAGCTCCCACGGGGGTGGGTGAGCCAACAAGACCGAGTTGCCCCTCACGGCCTCCCAGGGCAGAGGCTCGAGAGCTGGGCAATTTCTGCCCTTCGGCGCCGCCATCCGCCTGCCTGCACCTGGCCTGCTCGCCAAGATATTTAGTTTAACTCATTTTGTTTAACAAATAGTTTAACAAATTGTCTCCTAGACAATTTTTCTTTGTCTAGGAGAACAGGGGAGCCACGCCCGCTGCTGACAAATGGCATCGGAGCACCGCTGTTCCCGTCGTGAGGTGGTCAGAGCAGGCTGGCAGGAGGGGGTGGCCCGGGGGTTACCTTTGCCCGCCAACGCCAGCCTCGCGTCCTGCCCCGCCTGGTGGTCCAGCAGCCTCTGTGGCTCCAAGTCCCAGCTCGCTCTGTCCCGGCAGGAGTTGGACGCGTCCCTTCCGGCCAGGCGAGTCTCTGGTTGGGAATGAGATGCCCCAGGTGCAGAAGGCTGCTGCCCTGAGCCTTCTGCACTGAGTGTGGGGGGAGTTGAGATGCTGACATTATTATTTTTTTTTTTTTGTGGGACCCTCGCCGGCAGCTGGGGAACCAGCCGGCGCTGCAGAGGCTGCGGGCAGCCTCGCAGCCCAGCGCTCCACCGCTGCGCCACCGGGGAGGCCCCTGCTGATGTAATTTTAATTTAAAGTAAGGAGACCCTTAGAACCACTGGTCTTTGCCGGCTGTGGTCCTCACAGGCTGTCTCGCAGCAGCGCTTACCGACCACGGGGGTAAATCAAGTCCGCGGCTCAGTCATTGTTGAAACCCAGGGGGCGTCTCGCTGTCCCCAGATCGAGATGGAGAGAGAGGCTTTCCTTAAGCCCCCCACCCCCCAGCGGACACGGCTCTCTCGCCCCTTCTCGTCGGCGGGTTTTCTGCTCTTGCGCTCCCGTGGCGGGGTCACTTGTGTGGCGTCTCCAGTCACTGTGGCTCCAGGACGCAGCCATGAAATTCATCAGCGGGTGCGGGGACCGGCAGTTTTTAGTTTTGTAAATACGCTGTAACTAGCTTATCTCTCCTTCCACCAGTTGCTATATTGCCTCGTTTCTAGGCCTCGGCTATTCCAAACTGACACCGTGATCCTCCTCACAGGACGAGGCAACAATTTCTAAGGCCCTTGGTACAAATGCCATTCCTAGCTGACCGAGTGACGGATGGGTTGCCCAAAGGTGCCGTCCATTTGTGGAACCGTGTGTCCTGGGATCTCTCAGCGCCCCTCGGGGGTGACTGGGGAGCTTAAGGGAACCCTCTGCTCTATATCTCCAGTGGCTTGGACTTGGATGTCAAAGATGACGGAGCTGCGGACCTGCTTTTACCTCCCGGTGACAGCATCTGTAAAAACCAGGTTGGCCCTGAGGCCCCTGTGCACCAGCTCCTCTGACCGGCGTGGGAAGCTGGTCCCCTGGGCTGGAAACGCTAGCTTTGGGGGCGAAGCAGCAGGGGGCCCAGTTAGGAAGGGGCTGCCTAGTCAGAGCAGGAGGTCAGGGCAGACGGGGCTGCAGGACCCGCGGGTTTTATCCGCGGACGGGGGATGTCGGGGTAGAGTCAGCGGAGACTGCAGCATGAGGGAGGCTTGGGCGGGAGAGACCGTCCCAGTGAAGACGCCATTTCCTGAGCTGGGAAGGGCCGAAGGTTCCCGGGCGGGGGTAGGGTTTGTTTGGGCGGGTTAAGCTCCAAAAGCCCCTTAGACAGCAGGTGAGGCTGAGCAGGCAGTGGGGGGCGAGACGTGCTCTGCCTGGGAGGTGAAGTTCGGGAGCCATCGGTGCAGGGAGCAGCTAACGCCTGGGGAGAGGGTGACCGCAGAGACCAAGATGCAGCCCCCGAGCCTCCGAGCGGAAAGCCAGGGCGACCAGGAAAAGCAGCGGCGGGTGGAGAAGGAGCCTCGGGCAGCGCAAGGACTTAATGGGACGACACCGGGAACCCAGAGGTGTCCGAGGTGGTTGCCAAGCCTCAGCGTACCCGGCGCTTGCAGATGTTCTGGGTCATTCACTTTCCTTCTTTCTCTTACAAAGCATCCCTGGGCGATGCCTCACCTGCCCGTGAGCACAGCCGGGGTGAAGGAGCGCTCACCTTGGCCGCTTTCAGGTGTCTCTGGGATGGCGATGTCGCTGCTCGTTTCCATATTCACAGCGGCAGGGTGTCTGGCGGGGAGAGAGACTGTTTTACTCTCTAGAGGGAAAGCTGGCCTGGGAATCAGTTGAGCGACACTGTGGTCAAGTGGATTCCAAGCCCTCCCCTGTCGCTGACCGCTTCCGTGATTTCAAGAAAATCCGCTCACTGCGCTGCCTCCCCGTTCTGATCTGTGAAGGAACTAGCAACATGGCCCCCCGTCACCTAGTGTTAGGGTACAGTCATTTCTGCACTTTCTCATAATCACAAACGGATAAACACCCTCTATCACAAGGAGACTCTTAGGTTGGGTCCAAAGGCAAAACTCAACTCTACACACTTCTTGCAAGAGATTTATCTGACAGGGCCTCCCCGGTGGCGCAGCGGTTGAGGGCTGGGTTGCGATGCTGCCCGCAGCCTCTGCGGCGCCGGTTCGCTCCCCGGCTGCTCCCCGGCCACCGGGCGAGGGTCCCACATGGCGCGCAGACCTCTCCTGCCGCCCGCTGCTCCCCTCAGCAGTGTGCTTGGGTCCTTCTGCCTGTTCTGCTCCCCGCTCTGGCTCTGGTGAATTCTCTCACCCTCCCGCGCTTCTGACTGTACCCAGTGCATGTATAAACAAACAAACAAACAAACAAACAAATAAAAACATGCCTCTGAAAAAAAAAAAAAAAGAGATTTATCTGACACACGGGTCTTGGGAACTGAGGTGAAACCGAAAGGCTGGACGGGGAGGTGCAAGGCGGGGAGGTGGCTGTGCTTGTGTGAGGGCGGCACGGGGCCTGGTGGAGCAGCTGGTCTGTCTCTGAACGGCAGGGAGGATCCCACTCATCAGCTTGTGGAGAAACGCACATAGAACTACATGCACGTGCACAAGTATGAGTAAAACTGGTGAGCTGTGACTAACGTTGGTGGTTTGTATCAACCTCCATTCCTGGTTGTGATCTTGTCCTATATGGTTCTGCAAAGTGTAACTGGTGGGGAGCCTGGGTAGAGGCAGTACAGGGGAATCTCTGAATTATTTCCTACAACTGCAAAATAAAAACTTTAAAAAAAAACCCATAGCCCACACCTGTTAGAAAGGCTAAATCCAGAAAACTGACAACACCAAGTGCTAACGAGGACATGGAGCAACAGCCCCTCTCATTCATCGCTCTGGGAACACAGCGTGGTACGGCCACTTTGGGAGGCAGTTTGGTGGTTTCTTACAAAACCAGACATACTCAAACCCTCTGATCTGGCAACCTGCTCGTTGGAATCGACACCAAGGAGTTGAAAACTATGTCCATACAAAACCTGCTCGGGGCTGCTTGAAACAGCCGGATTTGTAGGGGTCCAAACTTGGGAGGAACCGAGGTGTCCTTCAGTGGGTGATGGGGGGCAGTGGTGCATCCAGACAATGGGATGTTCCTCAGCACTAAAAGGGAATGAATTATTGACCCATGCAAAGACCTGGAGGAAACACGAATGTGTGATACTGAGTGACATGTCAGGCTGAAAAGTCTATATTCTGCGTTTTTTCCAATCATGTAGCATTCTGGAAAAGGCAAAACTTTGGAGAGAGTGAAAGCTCAATGGTAGCCAGCAGCTAGGGGGAAGGAGGGATGAAGAGGCAGAGCACAGAGGAATGTTAGGACAATGAAAAATACTCTGTAGGATGCTGTAGCGACGAGTAGGGTGTTATACCTGCGCAAACCCATGAAATGCACAACACCCAAAGTGAGCCAGGATGTCAGCTGTGGTCTTTGGTGGAGGGGATGACAGGTCAGTATAGGTTCACCGATGGTAACACATGGGCCACTTGGGGGTGCAGGGAGTGGGGGAGGCTCTCTATGCGGGGGGCAGGGTGTATTAGGGAAATCTCTAAACCTTACCCTCAATTTTCCTATGCATCTAAAACTGTGCTAAAAAATGGAATCTGTCAAGGGCCTCCCGGGTGGCGCAAGGGGTTAAGCACCACACTATGAAGCAACCCGCAGCCTCTGCAGCATGAGTTTGATCCCCGGCCGGCCAGGGAGAAACCCACATGGTGCAGCAGACCCTCTCCTGTCTCGCCCGCTGCTCCCCTCAGCAGTGTATTTCAGTCCATCTGCCTGTTCTGCTCCCCACTCTGTCTCTGGTGAATCCTCTCAATCCCCCTTATCTCTGACCTGTACCCCAGCTCTTGTATGCATAAATAAATCCTTAAAAATGGACTCTATCAAAACATACCAAAAGGAAAATATCAAATACCAGAAAGAAGCACAGTGGCATTATTATATTAAAAAGTAGTCTAAAAACCACCCAGATTTCACATTTCATTTTACAAACAAAGAAAAAAAAATTAGACTCATATCCTTCAGAGTTTTGTGTGAATTTTATCGCTGAACATGTAATAGTCGCTGCACATATTACTAAATAGTTTCAAACAGGATATTTAAAGACTAAGTTTTCATTGCATGGATGCCTCACTGCATTTAATAACTCCCCTGCTGTTGAATCTTTTGGTTCATTTCAGGGTTTTTGTTGTTGTTCTTCTTCTTTTTTAAAATTTTTTTTTTTTTTTTATAGAGGCATGCTTTATTTATTTATTTGTTTGTTTGTTTTTTGTTTATACATGCACTGGGTACAGTCAGAAGCGCGGGAGGGTGAGAGAATTCACCAGAGCCAGAGCGGGGAGCAGAGCAGGCAGAAGGACCGAAGTACACTGCTGAGGGGAGCGGCGGGCGGCAGGAGAGGTCTGCGCGCCATGTGGGACCCTCCTCTGGTGGCCGTGGAGCAGCCGGGGATCGAACCGGCGCTGCAGAGGCCGCGGGCAGCTTCGCAACCCAGCGCTCAACCGCTGCGCCACCGGGGAGGCCCTGTTCTTCTTCTTATAAATAATTCCTGTTGTATAAATATATTTTTCTGGGTTAACCCCCGTCCCCAACAGGAGGGAGGAGAGCAAAGCCATCCGCATAGACAAAGTCGGAGCAAGTCCGAAGCCGCTGTCTGAAGGAAAGTCAGTCTCTGCGCCCCCGATAGTGACCACGGAGCTGATTAAGACGGTGGGTACCCAGCTTTGCCCCTCCAGTACGTTCTTTAGAAACCAGAGAAGGGATTAAGCGCCAGCATTTGCTTCCTCTGCCCACCGACAGCATCAGAGCTTTACATTTTTAATAACTCGCTGGCCTGACCTATGTAAAGTGAATTCAAACTTGTATTTGTTGGGAAAACAGTTCTCAGAGCAAAATCCATCTCACTATTGATTCTTCAATAAACTCATTTCATTTTGCTGGCCCCAATTTATTAAGTTGACACCTATTTAAATATTGGTCCCTACCTGTGTTATTTCTTTGGGGGAGAGTTTGAAGTGGAATTAATTCACCAAAGATAGACGTGTTTTCTGCTCTCTGGTTTTGGGGGTTTGACACCAGGGTACTCATGGTTTGTGACAGGAGGCGCCTTTTTATACTTATTTGTGCCTCCTTGCATCTGCCTTGTACACCTTAATCCTCTCCATGAACCTGGGAAGAAGATGCTGAATGACTCCCTTTTACGGATGGGGTAACTGAGGCACAGGGTGGTCATGTCCCGCAGGTGGTGAATAGGGGAGCCCGGTGTGATTGCATCTGGTCCTGCCCTTGAGTCTAGAGCAGTAGCTCTTATGGGGGGCTTGCTTCCAGGGGGCACTGGACATTTGGGGTTGTCACAATGGGTGGGGGTGAGTGGGGTTGAGCGAGTGCTACTACTGGCCTTGGTGGTGGTGCTGCTCCCCTACAAAGCCCCCACAAATGCACAGCCCCACACGGAAACATCAGTGGTGCTAGGGTTGAGAAGCCCTGGCCACAGCCCCGCTCTTCACAGCACCTCTGCTGCCCCCCCACCCCCGTTTCAGGTTAGTCCTGGAGGATGAGGTCAAAGGTGATATCGAGGAGCTCTTTGGTCCCATGGGGTGCCGACCCCTCCCGACCTACCCCATCTCTGCAGAGATGGGCTGGTGAGGAACAGGACTGATGGGAGAGGATTAGGGAGCGTTCATTTATGACAGTTTCTTTGCTGCTTAGGGGAGCCCTTATAGTCTCCAAATGTCCCTCCCTGTGAAAACCGACTCCCTCAAACAAACATCAAAGTCAGAAGAATCAGCTTACTCTGGAAATGCAGTTCTGAGCTCTCTCTTCCCTTGCTCACCCCAGCGACCCCAAGTCCACCACGTTCCAGAAACCCTGCGGCTGGGGGTGCAATTTCCAGGCCGCTCGCCCAGCACTTTCTTTTCTAATAAGATGACACCCCTAAATCACTCCTGGATGGACCTTCTCGGGAAATGCTCAGGGCCAGGCCCTCCCCCTGGGGACAAGCTCGGGTCTGGGGAGGGGGGCGGCTGCAGCGTGGGTGGTCCTTGCAAAGCTTAATGGCAATTTCATTTTAGCCTCACACAGCCGGACCAGAGGGAGAGTCCTGTCCCGACTGACTGTGAGAGAAGCTGAGATTCAGACCTTCCCGAACTCAGCAACAGCTGACGGGGCTTGAGCTCTGGTTGTCCTGACAACCAGTCGCCAGCCCTGCCCGGTGTCGCCAACCCTGCCAGGTGCTTGCGCTTTCACAGGCCCAAAGCAGCCCCCACCCCCCAACACCGCCACCCCCCGCCGAGGTCCCACCTGGGTCCGAGGGGCAGGGGACTGGCCACCTGCTGGCCTTTCCTCTCCAAGGGTCCAGAGGGGCAGGGGTGCCCGAGCGGCAGGACGGACGCGCCGCGCAGAGGATCAGCTGCTCTGCTGACCGGGGCCGGGCCGGGCGCTGCTGGCCGCCCTGAGCGGGGATTGCAAAACTGGGCCTGGGAACAGCTGCGGGCCCAGGAACGCCGCGGGGCGCTGGGCTGGGCTGCAGGAGAGGGGCCTGCACGCCGACTCCCTCTCGCCTCTGCCCAGGCGGCGCGTGGTGCAGCGGGGCTGGCTTTGCCTCCCTCAGCCCGGGCTGTGCCGCTGGCACCCGCAGGGGTGCCCTCGTGGGGGCGCGCATCCCCGAGGGGCCACGTCACCCGGAGCCGTGGCCGCACGC